TGTTGGGGCGCGGCGCCGTCTTCAAGGCTTTGAGCTTATGTTCGAGTGGATGGAGGCCAGTTTTATCCACCCTGAAGCCCAGGTATTCTACTGAGTCGGCAATGAAAGTGCACTTATCTTTCCTGAGTTTAAAACCTGCGTCCTCTTAACGTCCTAACACGATGTTTAGAGTCTCTAGATGACTAACTTCAGATGGACCGGTGACCAATATATCGTCAAGATATGCGCAAACGTGATGTATATCCTTCACGAGGTTATCAATCAAGCATTGAAATAAACCGGGAGCCGAACTTACTCCAAATGGTAATCTTTTATATCGAAATAAACCCCGATGCGTATTGATGGTGGTGGCGTCTCGGGATTCAGTATCTAGGACGACTTGGTTGTAGGCATGCTTCAGGTCCAAAGTTGAAAACTGATGACCACCCGAGAGAGATGCGTACAGATCCTCGATGCGCGGGAGAGGATAGGGGTTCAGTTTAGTTGCTGAGTTGATTGTCAGCTTGTAGTCGCCACAGATACGCACAGAACCATCGGTTTTAAGAACAGGAACTATTGGGGCTGCCCATTCCGAATATTGCACGGGCTCAATAATATCCGCTTTCTGTAGGCGATCCAGCTCTTCTTCGACCTTCGGTGCGACTGAATAGGGGACTGTACGAGCTTTGAAGAACCGGGGCCGGAAATCTGACTGAAACTGGAACTTAACAGGTGGACCGCGGTAGTGGGTAGCAGAATCGTCACGAAATAGACCCTTATGATTTACCAAAATTGAATCTAAAGCCGGATTTACATCAATCCGATGTACATAGGATAGCACCGAAGGCACGCATTTAATCCAATTCCGTCCAAGGAGATTTGGTTGCTGGCTTCCTCTCACCACATGAACCGGCAAGTAATGAAGTTCTCCATCATGCTCGACTTCGGCTGTAAAGAGCCCTCGAACCTCTACGTTCTGTCCAGTGTAACTACGGAATGTTGAGCTGGCCGGAAGGAGGGAGGGTAATTTCGGAAGGGAGGCCTCATTGATGAGAGTAACAGCTGAGCCAGTGTCGATTTCAAACTTCACGGGATGCTGATCAACCGGAAGCGTGATGGTGTAGGGCGATTGGAGCGGCGCGTTGGCTGAAAACATTCGGAGTATCGCCTCGCCGTCCCCAGCTGGATTAGGGTAGGTTGCATGCGTGTTAGTATTCGCTTGTCTTTTGGAGAAACACACTCGTTCGATGTGGCCGACTTTCTAGCAAAACTGGCATACCGTCTTCTGGTGTCTACAGTCTGACCACCGGATATGATGCTGACCACAACCGTAGCAGGATAGTAGTTGTTTTGAGGGAGCTGAGGGTCGCTGTTTAGGTGAAGACACAGCAATGTTGACTATGAAGACAGCCATTTCAGATTCCAAGGATGCTATCACTCTATCATTTGACTGATTCAGCTGCTGAAGGTTTTGTCGCACGCGCTCCCGATGACTGGCGATATCACAGGCTTTTTCCCATGACAAATCCTTCTTCTCTGATAAGAGATTTTCCCGAGCTTTTTCATCGCGCAGACCGACGATCAACTGCTGAACGAGCATTGCGTGCTCGAAGTTGTCTGCCTTGATCTCTTTATACCCACAGTCCTGGATGGCCAGAGTCAGATTAGTAATAAAATCTTGACGCATTTGACAAAACCGATAGCGACTGAGAAAGACGTTGTCTTTTCCTCCCCACGCTGACTCGAGTTTTGAGAAGGCTGTATGGAGATCTATAGCCTTTTGTAGATTGAGGGCATCGAAATATCGTTGTCCCAACTCTCCGAGATTCGTCCGAAGGCGTTTCAACTTAGATGGGACGTCTAGTACAATCGTGGGTGACAAAATCGGGAGCAGTTCAATATAATCCTCAAATGTCTTCCTCCATTGCAACCACGAGTCATTTGAGGGCTTCTGGGTGTTCTTTGGCCAGAAAGGTAACGGTGTAGGCAGCAATGAAGACATGTTCGTTAGGCTGCGTCGCCAATGTTATGTATGCAAAACAGAAGGGTAATTGGAAATAGGACGTGTACTGAGTACGATAGACAGCACAAGTGAGGAGGCTTGGGGGAACGGCCGGGTATATGGCAAGGGGGACTGTCATAGGCTAATGGGTGGCCAATCAGCACAAAGAAGGTGTGAACAGGGGGCCATGACCTTGATCGTTCGCTTGTCACGCGCTTGTGGCATGATGTCCTGACGGCCCGAGCCAGATACGCTGCAGTATCCTCTTTTTTCAACGGCTCAGAACACATCTTGTACTCCCATAAAAGTACTACATGATCACTTCGACCGAGCGGGGATAGGTAGTACACCTCGTGTATACTGTCAGGATCTTTGGTGAAGACGAGGTCCAAACAACTAGCCTGTTGCCCTCCACGTGCTTTAGTTGGAGATAGGACACGTTGCGTGAGAAGAGCTTTTAGGGTTGTCTTTCGAAGACGGTAATCGAAGGCATTCTTCGAGCACTTTGCATGCATATCGCTCCATTGAATGCACAGTGCATTAACATCACCCATGAGAACAACGACTGGTCGACTGGCGATCTCTTTTATGCTTCACAGCATACAAGTGTCTGAGTAGGGATCCGCTTGAGGGGGCCGGTAGATAGTTACGACTTTGAGGGACTGAGACTCGCGCGCCTTTATAGTCAGCCAAACTGCCTTTTTGTCGTGAGTAATCTTGTCCGTCCTCACACACCCTTTTAAGTTGCTCTTTACATACATGGCAACTCCTGCACCCCAGCTGCCCCACCTGTCTCTCCTAAACAACTGGTATCCTGTTAGTGCTACCTCGAAATCACCCACGCTCTGACAGCCAAGTTTCTATTATTGCTATAACATCGGGAGGAGTATCGTCTACCTGTATTCTCAGTTCATAAAGCTTGGAAAACAGACTCAGAGCATTGGTGTAAAAGAATTTAAGTTTGCAATATTCGTCAGTACTTCGTTTGGTTTGTCTCGGGCTTGACAATATAAATGTTTGGACTAACGTTACGGGAAAAAAGCTGTCGATCATAATGGGAGAAAAATGTGCGCAGGACTGACCTGCATGTGGCGATGTATCACGGATTATAATCGGGCATCGTTTGGGCATAAGCAAATCTCAACCTTCAGGGGAAAGTATTTGGGGCCGACAGGACACGCCTGCATGCGGTATTGAATAACGGATTTAAAACAGACATCGTTAGGACGGAATTCATACGCCACATGAGAATATTCGCGAAAATGTTGCAAGACGAGAGAAACTGTGGCGGTGAAGGATGCGAGATCAACTTAAACCACGAACATAACTTCGTTTCGTCTAATATCAACAGTCAGGAAGCTGTGAGTACTAGTTTATTCTGTGCACCGGGCGGGTTGCCGTAAGTTAGCTGTGTGCTTGCAACAGAGATAAGCGTCCGTTCGTGGACAGCGTCAGTCGCAGTGTCTAGTTTACGCGGGAGTGAAAGCCTGTGTCAGTAGGTGGGTGTGACAAGTTGAGTGCTGGTCGTGAGATTGGACGGATTAGGGGAGGATTAGGAGGAAACATAATTACAGGGGCTTATGGATATCAAGCCAGGTTGTCTGACGCACATGAGGTGAAAATAGTTTGTGAGGGCAGCCGGGTGTCACTGCAGCTGGACTGGAGTGGTCGTAGTTCTAGCCGGCGGGGGTGGTCGTGCTTCAGCGACCTGGCAATGATTGTCGCAGCCATCGACCGACAAAACGGACCCGGAGGAAAGGGGGGCCGGACCGGCTGCTACAACTCCCCCCAAACATTAAACGAAGTGAAGGCGTCGATATGCTAGCCTGCCACAAACCCGTCGGGCCAGTGGACGTGACGACCAGATTGTGTGCGGCGATCCGGAGGCGGACTGTCGAGAGTAGTTGGAGGTATCACTGTTTGTGCCGCGGTACAGTGTTGCGGTGAGGAATGGTCATTGTCGCCGATGTACGCCGGCTTTACGCGATTACTGCTGACTGTGTCGGTCTTGCCGTTGTGATCGACGACAACATCCTTGTCAGATCAACGAAGGACTTTATACGACCCGTCATAGGGTGTTGTAGTGGTCTTCGGACAGCGTCATGCCAAACTTAGACGAAATCGCACTTACTTACGTCGTGAGGGAGGAAGGAAATGGACGGTGACACCCGAGGAGGCGTTGCGCGGAGATTGCGCATGACGCTACGCAGCTGCTGCACATAACTGCAAGGTTCAAAAAACGTTCCATGTTTAACAGGGATACTAACTAACCGGGCAGTCGTAGGGAGGTTCCGTAGACAATATCAGCCGCAGTGCAACCGATGTCGACCTTGAGAGTGGAACAGAGGGACAACAACACCAGAGGAAGGTGATCAGACCATCGAGAAGGATCGGACTGGGCCATTAAGGAGGTCTTGAGCTGCCGATGGAAACGCTCGACGAGACCATTTGCTTGAGGGTGGAATGCTGTCGATCGGCTTCGGTTGGTACCGAGAAGGGAAGTGAGGTCGCGAAACAACGTGGATTTGAATTGGGATCCGCGTTCAGTGGTGACAGTCGAAGGAAATCCAAAATTGGACACCCAATGAACCAAGAAAGCTTTTCCTACGGTTTCGGAACTGGTATCCGGAATGGGCGCAGCAACCAGCCACCGAGTGAAGCGGTCAACGCATGTCAGCATATAGGCAGAACCGTTAGATGGTGGAAGCGGACCTGCCAGGTCAATGTGCACATGACTGAAGCGTGCATCAGGAGTGGCGAAAGTATGCCGATGTGTTTTGGCGCGCTGACATTGTAGACAGGATCGGGTCCAACGCCATACATCCCGGTTAATGTTGGGCCAGACGAATCGCTCAGTGATGAGTTTCACTGTCGCCCGGAATCCAGGGTGGGATAGATTGTAAAGAACGTCAAACACTTGTGGTCGTAAAATTGCTAGGACAAAAGGACTTTTGTGCCCGGTAGAAAAGTCGCATGTTATGGCGTCAGTGCAAGTGGGAAGGAGGACATCTTGAGGGCGTCAAGAAGGGTCCTCGTGGAAGAGCTCGTCATCCGATTCTTGAGCCTCAGTCATAAGCGTGAAGTCTATGGCGGCAGTTGTGGCTGAAGCCATCTCGATTCTTGAAAGAGCATCATCATCCACATTTTCGTTACCATGGACATGTTGGATGTCGCAGGAAAACTGTGGGATGAAGTCTAGATGACGAATTTCACGGGGCGAGTAACGATCGGGAGAGGCCCTCAGTGAGAAAAGGAGTGACTTGTGATCTGCTGAAACAACAAATTCGCGACCGTCGAGGAAATGGCGGAAGTGCCGGATGGATCGGTTGACGGCGTAGAGTTCTCGGCCGAAGACACTGTAGCGGGTCTCTGCAGGGCTGAGCTTCTTCGAGAAGAAAGCCAGAGGCTGTAGAACACAACTAAAAGTTTGCTGAAATGATGAACCAACGACAGAGCTGGAGTCGTCTGTCATGGTAGCTAGTTGAGCATTAGCGCGGGTGTGGTGTGTAGTGTGGTGCTCGCAAGTGCAGCCTTGATGTCATTGAAGGACTTGACGGCCTCCTCGGTCGTCACCAGTGTATTCTTGAAGTAGGTCAAAAGGCTGTTGACTGGCTGCAGTATGGTGGCCCCATGGGGAAGTAAACGGTGATAGTAATTCACCATCCCCAAGAAGCGGCGTAGTTGATTGATAGTTGTTGAAACAGGAACGTTGATATAGCCGAAACCGTTTCTGCGACGGGCTTTATCCCATCAGAGTTCAATTCGTGACCCAGGAAGATTAGGCTGGGGAATCCAAACTCACATTGAGCAGCATTGATTACAACGCCGAAGGAGTCGAGCCGTTCGAAGAGTTGTCGAAGCGTAACCTCGTGTTCGGCAGCGTCAGAACTAGCCACCAAAAAATCATCAATATAGGCGTAGACGAATTCGAGACCTAGCAGAACCTGATCAATGAATCGCTGGAAAGTTTGATCGGCATTCCTCAGTCCAATGGGCATGCGAGTGAATTTGAATAACCTGATGGAGGTGATTACTGCAGTTTTCGGCACATCACTGGCCTCGATTGTGATTTGTTGGTAGGCACGAACAAGGTCAAACTTAGAGAATACTCGCCTGCCATGCAGCGAAAGAATGCAGTGTTGGATGTGTTTTACGGGATACTGGTCGAAGACCGTCGTTGGGTTCAACGCCCGATAGTCACCATACGGTCGCCAGTCGCAGCTCTTCTTTGAGACAAGATAGAGGGGTGATGCAGAGTAACTGCCGGACTGCCGGACATGCCGAGCTCAAGCATGTGTTCGAACTCTGCCTTGGCAATCTTCAAACGGTCCGGAGCAAGACGACGTGGTCGGCAAGATTTTGGACGTCCGGTGGTGGAAATGTGGTGGGTGACTGTGTGTTTGATGTCCACTGCACGAAATGAGGGGTTGCCCAGTGGGGGGGGGAACTGCCTGAGGAGTAAGTGGAAAGGACAGTCAGAGATAGGCATATCAGTGAGAGGGTTCATGCAGGGGTTCACATCGGATTGACAACGAGCATGAAGGTTGGTAATGGAGTTGACGAGTCGGTGATTCTTCAAATCAACTAGTAGATTGAAGTTTGCTCGGAAATCGACACCTATGAGGGCGACGGAAATTTCGGCAATAATGAAAACCCATCGGAAAATACGACGAAGGCCGAAATCAAGAGTGATGGAGCGTTGTCCAAATGTGGGGATGCCGGAGTTGTTGGCGGCCGTTAGACAAAAAGAACTGCAGGTTTTGCTCTGGGCCAGAGTTGGTGGAACCACGCTAACCTCGGCACCAGAGTCGACAAGGAATTTGGCGCAAGTGATACGGTCCCAGGGTAACAGACGGTAAGTGTAGATATTGTCAACGCTTGTAGCAGCAGCAGCAGCAGTGGCCTCTGGTGTCGGTTGGGATCGTTTCCCTGAGGCCGTTAGAGATGCCCTAAAAGAGCATGGCTGATGATATTGTCAAACTGCTCCTCCAAAGTTTTGGTGATACCAACAAAAGCTACCTGGGGATTGTCGACGGCTGGTGTGGGAAACGGAGGATGTACACTAAAGGTTTGATGTTCGCCGCGGGCCGTTCGTGGTAACTGCAGTGAGCTGAGCTTTCAGGCGCATTAAACCCTCTTCGAGCAGATCCAAGCGTACGTTAGGAGTTTGAGAATATGTGTTGATGAGTAACTTTTGGTCTTGGAACATCGCGCTGTAGGTTTCCGGAAGATTGTTGTGGACGGAATTCCAGCGTTCGGATATTCGGGTCACCAATTTGTGGCGACCAAGTATGTGAGATCAACTTAAACCACGACCATAAGTTCGTTTCGTCTAATATCAACAGTCAGGAAGCTGTGAGTACTAGTTTATTCTGTGCACAGGGCGGGTTGCCGTAAGTTGGCTGTGTGCTTGCAACAGAGATAAGCGTCCGTTCGTGGACAGCGTCAGTCGCAGTGTCTAGTTTACGCGGGAGTGAAAGCCTGTGTCAGTAGGTGGGTGTGACAAGTTGAGTGCTGGTCATGAGATTGGACGGATTAGGGGAGGATTAGGAGGAAACATAATTACAGGGGCTCATGGATATCAAGCCACGTTGTCTGACGCACATGAGGTGAAAATAGTTTGTGAGGGCAGCCGGGTGTCACTGCAGCTGGACTAGAGAGGTCCCAGTTCTAGCCGGCGGGGGTGGTCGTGCTTCAGCGGCCTGGCAATGATTGTTGCGGCCATCGACCGACAAAACGGACCCGGAGAAAAGGGGGTCTGGATCGGCTGCCACGGATCTCAGACGCGATTGTTCACAGTCCAAATCGAGCCCAGCCGAGGAGTGGGCAAGGGATGTACGACCAAACTACTAGTAGACAAAGAATGCTGACAGTTCCGCCGCGAGTGTGACAGACCGCTTGAGATTGAAATGAGGAGATGACATCAAGTACCGCGAAAATTATTGCTTTGGTGGAGGAGTGATAGCAGTAGACATAGCAACCAATACATAACATAAAGATTTAAAAGAGAGTATCCACTTTATCTACAACTAGATCTACCAATAAACCACAGTAGGACCCTTCACGAAGTCAAGAAATTGAATGTTCGGGATTAAGGAGGTGATGAGCGTGGCTTAAGACTAATCGCTCACTCTGAGTGCGTCAATGCACCGAATATTGCAGATAAGTTTATTCGAGAAAGGAAGGAAAGTCCAGCTTTGAGTATTCTTACCCACAAAAACAGAATGTTCGTCAGCTGACACGTCTGATTAGAAAAGCACTGTATAGAACATTGGAGAAGACTTTCCGATTGGAAACCCTGCAAACATTCTAGATTTTATCACGGTCACGAAAGTTTGTTAAACCAAAGAAAGGACAGCAGTACACAAAGACGGCAGAACAGACATTTGTTAACGCCTTGGTTCATTTCCGGAGGGGAAAAAAATTAGGCCATATGAAATCATATATCCGTGCGGCTGTGGCAGAGATTCTATCTGCCAGACCTGATAAAGCAAACTTATTTGTCTAAATTAAACCAACGTTCTTCATGGTGAAGCATTCCGCTAGTGGTTTATTCTGAAAGATTATTGGACCAGAAAGTTTGACAGGACCAAAAGACGCGAAACCAGATCTGGATGATGAAACCTCCATCTGCCATGATGAATACCATCTGCCTTGTCGAACTGCATCTTAGTATGCGTGGTAAATCGGCATTCAGTTTTCCAAAACAAACATTTTTTGTGTCCTAAGAATATGAATGAACACACATGCCTCATCGGTTTAGATGAAAATTAGCCAAATTCCGAATCCAGTCGAAATATCATTGATGTGAAGAAGGAATTACTGCGGACACAAAGCCGTGCGTTGAAGTAGGCCACTCTTCTTGAGTGAGATGTTTGGTAGCTGCTAACACCAATGACTTTCCTACATCGGTAGATTTGGAAGGACCCAATCAAACTGAGTAGACGCGGCCGGATGTCGAGTGCTTTCAATTCTACCAAAAGACGTTTATGTGGCAACCTGTCGAAGTCTTTAGTAAGAGTTAAATCGATAACTATCACCGACTGCTGTTCATTACCAAGAGAAGTGATTAGATTAAAAAATGCCAAGTGGCAAGTGTTGCAGGATCTTTCAGGACTAGAGCTCAGAAGCCGATTTGCATGACGGATGTCAAGAAATTCATTGGAAATTATTCTTTCGAGACGCTGTGCTCGAGACCTTGCTTTGTGACCTTCCCGATAGTTGTTGATATCGGACCGAGATCCCGGCTTGAAGACAGAAATGATGATTGACGTCTTCAATGTTCCAATAAAGAATCTTTTTAATAATGAGAACGAGATCAAATGAATTAGCAATATTGGAGGTTCGGATGCACTTTTAATAATCGCATTTGAAATCCGAATGTACTCAGAGTCCAATCTAAAGGCAACAGAAGGAAGGGACTGAGTTGGACTCAGTATTGAGGTGTTTTGCAAAGAAAGCATTAAACATCCCCGCCTTGTCAGTGTCATTGATTAGGAAGAATTTGTCATCGTTAAGCAGGGCTAGGAGTTCGTGACCACGCCTGGAGGAGGACCGATGACGGAAGATATTGGCGACGGATTTGCCAGGGTTCGAATAACTGAGAACAAGTGATTCTCTTCGCCCGTCGCGCGGTTGACGCATCATCGAGGCCATTTCGGAAATCACTCTGGTTCTAAGATTAACGGATAAAGAATTAATGGATAGATCACGCGGTTGCCACCCCATCATTTTTAGTCTTTTGCGAAGAAAATAAGGAATAAAGGAATCCGCAGAATAAGACGCCAGATATCTACGCGGCACAAACTCTAGGATGTCCTTGCAAACATTTAACATGACATAACGAAGAATGGTTGTATCACAACAGGCGAGAATATCACATTCATGCGGTGATCCAATGTAGTTATCTATCACGTCGTTATCCACGCAAGTTAGTTATGTCTGAGCTGTGATGGACTTTTTTGAAAAGGCAAGCGGTAAGAAACAATGAATTAGTACGTGATAACTATTAAAACGGTCCTTGTTGAAATCAATAACAGATGGGCAACTTCAGTGGTAATAATAAGAGCTAACTTAAGATTATATCTTGTTGGAGAGCGCAGAAGTTGGGACTAGCTAGAGAATTTGAAAATATATTGGAGGGACTGGAATCTAGCTGGGCAGATAGTGGTAACCCAATCTATTCTTTTATAGTTAAAATCCAAAGTGATTAATTTAAAGATTTAACATAGTAGTGAATCATCACTGGCTGAAGTATTTGGGGGATTGTAGATACAGCCGTGAATGACGAGTTGGCCAGGTGATACAGACGGCGCTTTGGGTAGGAACTATGATAACGAAGACAATGACCCACAAATAGTCGTGCGGTCTTGACGGCAAACATCGAGATCATCTATAAAAAGGGCAGAGTTATGATTTAGAAAATGGGTCCAAAATTCTAGTAAACACATATTATCGGGTGTCCTTTTGAGAGCAATAGCTCTGATTTGGGCCATCCCCTTCGAAACAGACCTGGCATTCAATAATATAATATCTAATATGTTTCGAACAACAAGGCTACCGTCGATGGCATTTAGAAAAAAAGAATTTGGTGGCGGATACGTAAGCAGTGAATTAATGATGCTTGGAGAATAAGTGCCTGTTAGTCTGGAGTTATTGACGTAGACGCAGTCCGCAAGAGAAGGCTGAGCTCGAGACCTTAGTGATGTAGGAATACACTTTTCGAGCATTGGAATGCTAGAGGAATTACAGCAGGGGTAGACTTTATGGTAGTTGAAGTGTGGAGAAGGAGGAGTAAGAGGAGTTGGAGGGAGCCTAGAAGGAAGGTAGAGGCTAGAATGCGATGTTGGGCTAGTAATGCCTTCGGACTTAGACTAAGTTAAGTCATGTTTAGGTACATAGGCCGAAAACTTTCGTCGACCTGTAACTTTACCCTATCTTTTCCCAAGGAAAGTTAGATATAAGCAAACTACTTACAGACCAGTTGACTAAGTTTTAGCGAGAGGCAAACGGTGCATAGCATTTGACGCAGTTAGAGAGAAATACAATGAACAAAATGCGAATAGCAGAAAGCGGTTGTTGGTCAACAGGCACAGACTAGCAGAAGACAAATAGAAAATGTCAATGGGCGATACTGAGAGAATAAGTCTGTATTTAAGTAAACGCATTTAAAAAACAGACTAAAATCGTTAGGATCCATAAAAAAACTACATTAAGTAGTATCCTCCACTTGCCCTCGAATGTAAACCCAGCGGCCTGACCTTGACCTGACCATTTAAATGTTAAGGGATCTAATCCACAGTAATCGATTCTTGTAGAAAAATCTATATTGCTACTTATAACATAAGGTTATCCAGGAAGTGTTGGCGTGCATTGGATTGGCTTGCCTGCATTGTGGCGTAGATAGTCCATATCTCCATCCCGTAATATGAACTTCTCAGAATTGGTGCCCCGTACATTTCCGGCTTCCTATTCAGTAAAAGTCCCCAGTGGTTCGAAATAATAATAGTTAGTAATAGTCCAAATCTTCCTCGGATATCAACACTTACCCCTATAAGTCGCCCATACAATCTTCGAAACTCTTTCCTACTTATACCTCCTTCCCCTTCCTCCACCCCTAAGCGCTCTTATTTTTCGCTTCCAGGTCTACTTCCCTCTGGAATAACCTTCCAATAAATATAAGATATTCAGATACTTTACACACTTTTAAGAGAAGTCTGTGACTTTATCCGAATACTAACTGGAATAGACTTCTATTTTCCTCATTCTTCCCGGAAAACATTCTCTATGACACTGAGAAAGGGCCACCAAAAATGAAGGACGACGCCATTAATTTTCAGTATCCGCTCCTATTACCTTCTTTTGCGTGTATTATCGCTTCCTAGGATCACTCAGCAGAAATGCTAATTTTTTCGATTTTTCAGTTCACGATTCGTGCCCCACACACAATACGCAGAACCTTCTGTATTTGCCATATACGAGCAGTCTGGTCGCATTTCCCATGTGTTAGGTTTTTTTCTCTGCTTGCTCATCAATCTTCGTAACACCTTAATTATCCAATATCTATGAAATAAGTTTTCTGTAGATTCTGTGTAACTCGTCTAAAATTGAAAATTTCATGTGAAAAGTTAATGTTACTTGCTATCAATGTACGTTCACGACTCTTGAATAAAAACTTTTATTATTATTATCATTATTGTCTTTATTATTAATATTAATTTTATTATTAATCTATGAACGTTGATTTAATGTGAATGAAAACGCTGATTGTATTTTCGGCCGCCCTAAATAAATAGGGGACGGATTTACAGTCGCATAGCCTGTTCAGTCCTTTTCTCAGGGCCCAGTTATCATTGTTCTCGTTGATCACTTACCATAACTTGATGTCATCAGCAAATGTGACGCATTTGAAATCCAGTCCATTCATACAGTCGTTGACATACATTACCTGTTTTCGCTTTGGATGAAACTGCTGGTAATGAAATGGTTGTTATGTTGTTGCATACATTCTCAATAGTTAATCCTTCCGGTTTGTTTCTTTGGTTATATCCCGCATTATGCACGCAGGACGGTTAGTCTTTTTGACTCACTTTGCCGGAGAGTTGTGATGCAAACGGCCGCCTCAAAGCTTATAGGAGTGTTCTTATCAACATCTGCATGCCCGGTAAACACGTCATGCCATTTCACTACCGAAAATCCATTTATCATGGCGGCAAAATCTCCTTGCTAGAAATTCAGCCGAGGCTCAGTCGTATTCACTTCCTGGCTACATAGGCGATATTCGCTAAGCAGCATGACATGGTGACTCTTACCGAGCATTGCTTTGGACCAATGTAAGTTAGGACTAAGGTAGTCTTTTGTAAGGACCAGACAATTTGCTCTTTGGTCCTATCCGATGCTGGTTGGGAACGTGGCATTTTGTACTAGAAAGAGATTAGCCGTTAACTTTGAAAACCTGGATTCAAAGGAGTTTCGCGAAGAATTTAGCAATAAATTGTTCCACTCGACCATGCGCGCATTGAGGTCTCCGGTTATCAGTACCTCTTAGTTTTGTGACACCTCTTTTATTAACCCAAACAACGCCTAGTCAACCTCAGGAGTTTGATTGGGCAGCCTGTATACTGTCAGAAAATTCAGATCAGATGCACCACGTATTCATAGTTTTAACCACAGTTTGATGTACCCTTTTGGACCGTTGGAATTTATAAATTCAAATGGAGAGAAATGAATTTAGTTTGAAGGAGCTTAAAGCTAACGCATACATGTGGATGCGCATCCTCACTTTCTATTCTGCTATTGGATGCAATGGTATTGCCTCCGCTGAAATGCATGATAATGTAATCGTAATCTGCAGACAAATTGTCGTCATTTTGTCGATGTATTAAAACTGTTAAAGGTCGTGCTGAATGTTAATAATATGAATATGAAAACAAAAGTAGGTTGCTGGTTAGGCGTTTATGGAGATGCAGACCTCGACCTTTGTGTGTGCCACACTGGGGCTATTGCTCACATGGCTTGTTACATACTGCACAGCAGAAGCAAGTATGCACAATGAGATAAATTGCTTAAGCAATTGTATATAGGATAGGATTTGATGCGCATGTTATCAACTAGTTGCTAAGTTCATTTGGAGCAACTAATTTTTTCTTTGGCCTGCCAAACTTTTGTAAACATTTTGCACGTGCAACAGCCCTGTAAGTTAATAAATAGTGGTTGTGGTGTTCTAACTGATCATATATATATATATATATATATATATATATATATATATTTATGATCAGTTATATATATATATATATATATATATATCTAGAATTTAGAAAGGGGTTACAACAATTATAATTTTTATTGTACGCATAGTTCTTAGTCGTTTAACACCTGTCACTGTATGCGTACTCATAAGAACTTCATCTACTTCAGATGGTTTTCAAGTTCAGTATAAAGGGCCGCGATTACTCGAAGCACGCTGGAACTCAGTTTTTCAAGAAAATTCAACGGGCGAATTTCGTATTATTCTAAATGGCCGATTAGATCCAAAATGCAAAGAACCTCTGAACAAGGCTGTCTGCAATTGCTCGATGACCGACACACTTCCAAATTCAGAGAATCACGTTCAGCTGGCTGTCTGCAAGTTGAACGAAATTGATGTCACCCAATGTGAACGCCCACTCAAAGAAA